ACCCAGCATTCATTCCTGCCTGTGGCAGGGGGTCAGGCTAGGTGATCTGTTCAGGTCCCTCCTGACCCTAGCTACTATGAAACTATGAAAGGCCGCATGCAATCAGTGTTAACCAGAGAGTGACAATACATGTCAACAGAGGTTGCATTTCTCCTGAGAGAGCCCCTTTTGTCTCAGGATCCTGCCTGTGAAGTCTCTGAAAAAAAATGTGCTAACATTTTTCCTGTAGGGGGGGAGGAAAACGCACAATGACGACAATACAATGCTGTGTAAATCTAAATGAATCCCAGCTCATTCAAGTTAACTTCCAACCATTCCAGGGCCAAGCCAGTCAGGCTGTGCGCCCTTGCCCTCCTCACACACTGGCAGAGGTGCAGTAATGCAGCTTGAAAGTTCAACGTGTACAGGACTGGGCTGCTTTTTGATCAGAGTCAAAACTGGGACAAATCTAGCCTGCATTATATGAACCATCTGTTTATAGCCACACAGCCTGAGGGGTGCTTTGGCCAACACTCCAGTCCAAAGCAAAAACCACGACAGTCCATCAGTTAACGTGGATTGAGCTATGCAGAACATGCGTTGCATTATCCACTATAGCACGAAACACCAGTCCAAGGAAGGGTATTTCAAAGGATGGGGTACTAGGAAGCAACCATGTATGTACTATCCTTTGTGACACTGTCTGCAAAGAGGCACAGGTGACAAGATGATGAAAGTGGGAGTATGATTGTTTTATATTTAACACCATCTGACTAGTAATCTATGGCCTCAGTTGGGGTTTCCTTGAGAGAGCACCCACACCTGCCAAAGCCTGACCTGGACCAAGGACTTGTTTGAGGGCCAGTGGGTGCTGGGCAGTGTGCTCTGCTTATGTTCCCCCGCGGAGAACTCTGCTGCCCATTTAGTGACCCCCTCCAACAACCAAGGGGTTAACAGTTCTTGTGTGGGCCCATGCATCTAATAGACCTGACTGGGACCAGGAGGAAGGAAAAGTGGCTATGGAGGGTCATGAACGTCTCATGAACTTGTAGTCAAGTTCCTATGGCAGAAAGATGCGGAAGCAGCATGTCCTGGAAGAAAGGGCAGACCAAGAGATGGGTATTTCCCTCATCCAGGGACCTCTGTTCCCTGCCTCCTCACAGGAAGACCATGTCCCTTGCCACCTCGTAACGGTCACTGCCTCCAGAACAGCCACTCCCTAGCACCTACCTCCAGGGGAGCCAGAAAACCCTCCAGAGTTTCTGCAGCAGCCACGCTGCAGCTGCACCAGTGCTATGTAATTTGCTTGGATGCAGTGCCTGACATCACAGCTTCATGAGCCAGGGGAGCAGAGGTAGGCTGGGTGCATCTGAGACAAACAACATCTCAGTCTCAACAGTGTTTGTCCTGACTCAAGGAAGTGTTTCCCAATTTGCAGCTTTGCAAAAAAGTCCCACATTCCTACAGATAGGAGCATCATTCCTTTTCCCTTACTACCACGTGTTGCAGTCTGAGATACCACCAGCACTTGCTGTACCATGGAAAGGTGACCATTTATGACTGTGCATATACTCAGAGGTAAGGTTTGGGTCAAGCAGGATATATGTTCTCCAATTCTCCCTGTGACCTTTCACACCAGCCAGAGTCACTCTGTACAACCTGGCACACTCAACAGTCTTTTCAACCTGGGTAAAATCCACCCCCACCAGATTCACCAACCCCATGCTGACTGCAGGAGTGGCTGCAAACAGTCAGTAAGCAAGCTCCCCAAACATGCTCCCCACCTGGTTCTCCAGTGTCAGAGCAGTTCTCCCTCGGGTGTCTATGTGCTGGTGGGCTGGGATACATTCAGCACACAATTCCTGAACTTGGCTTCTGCATCTCAAATGTTTGCAGCCTGTGCTAGCTGTGATAGAGATTTGGGACAAGCTGGTCCCACCACTTGATGCTCGTTCCGTAGACCTAGAACCGCTGTTCTGTCATGAGCTGGTAGGTGATGGATGTCTGCAGCACCTAGCAATCTTTATGCATTGCCTGTGGCTCTCTTCTTCTTGGTTTTCTCATTTTTACTGCTGGTGGTTGCTCATCTTCAAAGGCAAAACAGCTGTGATGACTTAGCCAGTATCCAGATTCCTGTTGGCCCAGTGACTCAGAGATTGGAAAACAGTACAAAAAAGGGTAGACCAGAGGGAACAGCGGGAATTTGTTATGGAACAGAGAGTGTCATGGGAACTTGACTTCAGTGAGGGGCACTCACTTGTATCTCACAATGCATTGCCAAAGATGTCCCCACAAACCAGAGCACTAGATGGTGACATTGGGATGCTTCTTCATAGTGTGCCACAGCTTTTGGTAATGAAGCCATGCACTGTGAGGATGCGTTTGAGTTACTATATCCCAAATAGTATTGACAACTATATCCCAAAAAGATGGACCAGGTGACGTTTTCCAACACAGATGCAACCTTAATCTGGAAAAAGCAGGAGTTAATACTTCTGGAAGGAAGTGACTGGACAGTTAATCACACTGAGTGTGCAAGCAGTGGTACAGTATAAGGGATACTGTTCCTGTATGTACACACACGTGCATACAGTATGCTGCCATATGTATGGGTGTGTTGACAGTGTCCTGTTCCATGTCTGAGTGGATACAATCACCCTGCTTTGTTTGGGTGGGCGTGCACCAGATTGCTGCGTGCATATAAGTGTGTGCAGCTGGTGCCAAGACTATGAATACTTCAAAACAGATTCTGACAGACAAGAATGCAGCTAAAGAGGGGGTGGAAAGCTAGCAAGTTTCCTACCACCCACACCATTCAGACACAGGGAGGGCTCTCTGGGGAGATTCTCTGGGAATTCAGCTGTGCCAGCCACTTTCCACCTGAGGCAGTAAATTCAGATGCTGGGTGATGCTTGCTGCTAAATGCCAAAGAGCATGACAGATGGGAGAAGGGATTGGAAGAGATGGAAAGTTCAAAACAGACACTAACTCCTTGCCTTTCCTCAGCCCCCGGCAAGGAGCCCAGCCCTGTTTAGAAGCATTAATGCATCTGTCCTCAGAGCACCCCTAGGACATCATGATTCCCATTCTAGCTTGGCACAGCAAGTCTGTGAGAATCAGGCTACAACTTAAAGCTCCTGACTCACAGCTGGATACCTCAGCTGTGGGATAGCCCTTAGCCCCCAAACGCAAATGCAGACCTGGAATCTACAGGAGTCACCGCCATCTCCCAGGAGGGGACAAGGACCAGGGTGGGAGGATCAGAGAAACAACTCAGCCCGGTGCAGCTAATGCTAGGCCTGCTCTTTGGACACCAAAATGTCACCAGGCCTGCCTAGCAGGCACCTTTCCTGGTGACAGAGGCCCCTTTACAAGCAAGCAGGGGGTCAGAGCATGGAGCTTTACTACAGACAAACGACTCCCCACAGCACTCGTGGCCAGTGATACAGGCTCAGGCCTCATTTGTAAACAGCTGTCCAACCAGCACATACTTTGAGATCATGGCTGGTGGGTGCGGCTGACTCCCTGTCCTGCAGTCCTCTACTTAACCCCAGAGAGCGAGCTCCGCACCCCAGCATGCCTCCCTGCAGGGCTTGCCTTTGGAAGACCATGATAGCTCCATTCCTGGACTCTGTGTTCAGGCTGCCCATTAATGGGCCAGCTGCGGTTCAGACCCTGTTATTTTTCACACCAGCTACCCACCACATACCAGATGTTAGCAATTTACCAGGCAGGGCTGGACTTGCACTGGTGACTTTTTCAGAGGCAGCACCCCATACTTTCTTTCCCAATTCCTACAGCAGCCATTGCCTGTTAACAACCAGAAGAGTCACCTGAGCATAGAGATAAAAGACAAATATCATGATGGGGTCCTGGGGTCTCAGAGGAACCGAGGACTTGCTGCTGCTTCTGCAATCCATGAATAACTGTCAGAGGAGCAGATGAAGGCCTGAGCTGGATGACTTCTGTACAGTCAAAGGGTCAGCTGCCCGCAATCACCCTTGCAATTATTAAAGCTCCCCTGATTTGCAGCTGATGAGCTACCCCAGAAGTCAACAGAGATGATCCAAACCATCTGGGAGTGCTGCTGGCACATGGGACTGTCCACAGCAGCATTAGATGGGGGAGCGCCCACATCAAACACCCAGTGCTTCAACAGCCCAACCCTAGCATGTTTCACAAACTCTGATGCTGCAGGTGGCAGGGGTTACCCTGGGCAGACTTTTCTCTCTTCTACCTGGCTAATGGGGGGACGGGGGGGGACACACACTTGTATCTCTGTTCATGGGACTGACTTCACCTTGGTAGGGGGGAAGGGCACTGGCTCATCAAAGGAGCTAATGAGTCAGTGCAACCCTCAGAGCAGGTGATTTCCACTGGTCCCTCTGCAAATGAGGTTAGCTATTGAATGAACCCAGGCCCAAGCAGGTCAGGGACCTACTGATCCCTTTTGCCGAGCTGAAAAAAGCAACAGCTAATCTGCGGGCAGGATAGAGACAGACAGTAGGGACATATAGTGTGCAAAATATTTATTTATACTCCAAAAAGGTTCAGATTCCAGGTGCGGGTCCTGCCTTTTCCCCTCTGCTCCTCACCCTATTTGCATTGAGAACCCATTGCAAGAGACCTCCCTGCTGCCCACGCCAATATGCCATCAGAGAGGTAATGCTCTGGGCTGAGTCAAATGCCAGCTATGGAAGTTCTGGGGACACATGGGCTTTGTGATCTAAACAGCCAAACTCGGGGCACTGCTGAGATGAGTTGTGCAGATCTCAGCTCTGATAGCATAGGGGGAAACACTGATTTGACATCATATACAACAGGTGCAGTTCTGGTCAGGAGACAGAGGCTCAGGCTCCTACCAACAGGGTAGCTATCAAGATGAGCCCTGAACTCGGTGCTGAGGGAGATCTAGGTGGGCTGGGGAAGGAGGGGGAAATCAAACTGAACAGCATTTTGGTGCCCCTTGGCTAAGAGACCAGACCTTAATTTTCTATGGCTGTTTCCTACGAACAAACAAGCAGGCATTTCTCCTAGCTGGGAACCCCCTGACCTACTCTGAAGCCTGTGGCCAACCTGAGGGCTCCACTCCCTGGTACTGTTGTCCCTGCACCGGTCTGCACGGCCCCGTGCTCTACACGGCAGAGGCACTCTGTTCTGCTGCTGGCCTTCCCCATGCTGCTCCCACCTGTGCCCAGCCCTGAAGAGCAGGGGTTGGAGAGGACTCTGCAGTTAGGGGTCTGCATACGGCATGTAAGGGAAAGAGAGGAGAGGCTGAACCATCTTCTTATGGGGTGGTATTTCACTGGGGTCCCTGCAGTGTTCCTGCTGTCTACAGCAGAGGAGCTGGCCTGCCTGAGCCTATGAGGGAGACTCAGTGAACTGAGCAGCGAGGGATGTGGGAGGGAAGGGAGCTTGAAAACTGTACATTCAACTGAGCACCCTGGCACTGCCACCCTGGCATAAGGGAACATGCATGCTCACTCCCACTCAGCTTGGGGGCCAGGCCTGCTTGCTGGGGTGGGTGGCACAACACACACAGCAAACATGTTTGCACAGGGGTGGGCACACTGCCCTCGCTCACACCCAGCATGTGCATGCACAGCCGATCTGGCCTCTGGTGAAGGGCCCCACTCTGCCACGTGGGCAGGGTGCCCAGTGCCCAGTGCCCGGGTCCGCTGGGCTCCACATCACACAGCTGCTGCCTCCCAGTCTCAGGCAGGGGCCTAGGAAGATTTCAAGTTCAGTCTCTGGCTGCGAGAACACCTCGATAGAAAAGCCAGCGCGCGTCTGGTCCAGTGCAGGCCCCCGGGCACGGGGCTGGCACCCGTGTCATCAGGGTTTTGGCACTTTCGGGGGAGGATGCTGGAGACCCAGGGGAGGCTATGGCGGTGGTGGGATCTGTGCCCCCAGCAGGTCATAGGCAAATATGTTCCAGAAGACAGCGAAGACGAGGAAGGTGGCATAAGAGAGTAGCACGACCCACCAGCCACACTGGTCCTGCAGGTTCTCCTCATAGCTGCGCAGGATGGTCAGCCCCATGCTGATGCCCACAATGGCACCTGCTAGGTGAGCCATGAAGCTGGGTTGGGGGCCAGAGGCTGGCAGGGGAGGGGAGAAACGGAGCCAGACGGCTCGACCCACCTCTGAGCTCACTGCGAGGGAGAGGATGAAGAGTGGGAAACCAGCTTGATTCAGCAAGGACCCAGCCTGAGAGCAACCCCACTACCCCTGCTCTGCACACTGGGTCCTGCGTCTGTCCAGCCCTACTGCTCCCAGGCCCCAGCCACTACTGACAGGGACAAGTGCCCCCTCTGGAAGGCTGCACCTTTCTGTGCTGTTTGTTGTCATTGAGTAACAGGCTGAGGAAGATTTTGGTGGCATCCCAGCAGGCACCGGTCTGCATGGCCTGGAGCTGAGCTTCGTCAGGCTACAAGCAGGCTGGGCGTGAGATGCCTATGGGTGAGGGCGACAGGCCACAGGAAGGGCTCTTCAGGGGAAATGCCTGCGCGCTCTCCATCAGAGGCAGACTTGAAGCAGAGACTGGCACCTCTCAAAGAAACACTCTATATCAGGGGTTGTCAACTGGGGGTACGCGTACCCCTGCGGGTACTTGAGAAGGCCCTAGGGGGCACACATGGGCGGGCAGGGACCATCCCGTGCTGCTGGGCGGGCGCTGTGTGCCCAGCTGGACATGGGGGGGTGAGGGAAGCTTGCACATGGTGGCAGGGCTGCTCCTCATTCAGCTGTGCGCCACCTCCCCCTCCCCCCTGCTCTGCGTCCAGCCTCCAGGGCTACACTGATCCAAAAAGATTGAAAACCCCTGCTCTATATCATTGTGCCCATGAGCAAGGCAGTCAAGCACAGGGGCTGTAACTACTCTTCCATCTCATGGTTGCATGGGAAGGGGTTCTTGGAGACTCTGGGATGGAAAGAGGTGGAGACTTACTTCTCTGGTTCAATCAGTGTTTGAGAGGATTTGCTAACACAGCAAGGGAGGGCATTCTCCCTGTTGCAGGAGGCCTGGGGTGAGGTTCCCTGGCCTGTGCTATGTAGGACACAGGACCCAGTGACTGTAATGATCACCTCTGGCCTTGGAGTGTCAATGGCTGGCACAGTCCTCCCCCAGGGCCTTCTCCCTGGTAGCCAACGTACTTACTGCACACAAGGGCCAGGACCATCCGGAGCAGCTTGTAGGGGCAACGCATCCCTGCCCAGTTCTGAGGACAGACAGACAGAGTTACAACTACACAAGACCCATGGCTGGGCTCAAGCAATGGACTATTCCTGACCCATTTCCAGCTGGAGGGGACCTGTGGCAGCCTGTCAAGCTGCAGTTCACTATCCAAAATGGCAGCAGGGAGGAGTGAAGCTCCTTCAGAGGAAGAAGTTTACTGCCTGCCTAGGAGCATGGCCACAGCCAGGGCCACATTACAGCAAATGGGGCAAGACAGCCATGGCCAGCTTGCAAGGCCTGGAAAGCCCTGTCTATATTGTTCTCTGGGGCAGATGCTGGACAAGCCCAGGCACCAGTGCCCTGCTAAGTGTGACAGGGTTGAGGCAGAAGGGTGGGAAAGAGGGGGAAATAGAGGGAATGGGGCCTTACCCCTCAAGAAAACCCTTGTTGAGGCCTCACATTCTTAAAGCAGAGATTGATGGTGGCTGCGAATTGTCCCCTGGTGATAATACTGATCACAGGTGGTTGGCCAAGATAAGGCAAGCAGCAAATGCCCTTCATTGCTCCGGTCTCTACCCCATCCCCCTGCTACCTCCATGTCAATGCACTATCCACAGCTGGTGCCAGCCCAGAGGTGTGGAGTGACCCTGGTCTCCTACAGTGCTAATCCCAGGCCAGCAACGTACCAAAGGACATGGATCAAAGCTGTTTGCCTGAACCAGACTGGGTGGGCAACCATCATGGACATGACCATCCCAGCCAGCACCAGCAGCTCATGCCACTGCCTTCCTCTCAGAGTTTGTCTGGACCCTCTTTAACATTATCTCAGCTGCTCCTGGGATCCCAGTAGGGAACAGGAGGACATATGCCACATGCCAGTCCCACCCCGGTGCCCTCCTGGCAGGCTGCACAGCCAGAGGACCTACCATGACAACATTGGCCAGGTGAGCAGAGCAGAGGGCATAGACGCCTCCTGAGCCTCCAACCAGCGGGGCCCTCATGTCCGTGATGGAGACAGTCAGGGAGCCTGCAGGCAAGAGGGGAATACTGGTGACAGAGCAGAGAAGAGTGCGCCTGTGCCCTGGGGCAGAGTACAAGGAAATGGGCTCAGAAAGACAGGCTTTCCCAGTCCACAGCATGGAGCTTTTCATAGCTCCTGCTCTCGCTGCCTCAGCATCAAACTTCAATGGGACTTTCCCCATGTACAGGCTTTTCCACCACATCAGTCTGCATTACAACATCAGTGCATACTCCAGCCCCTGCACATGCTCTCCTCCAAAGCATGTACTCATCTGGTGTATACTGAGCAAGCAGAGTGCAGCCCCTCACCCACCACAGAGCACGTGCTAACAGCATACACAGCGCAGTCCACCACAACACCACAGAGCACACGCTAATACAGTCCTGCCTCAATACCCAGCACAGAGCACACACTAACACCACACCCAGCAGAACCGCTCACAACCAGCACAGAGCACACGCTCACTCCACAGGCAGCACAGCCCCTCACACCCCTTTTATCTACCTCAGCCAGCAATGCCAGCGCTACTCCTACAAACTGCACGCTGACTCCTTCCAGTCCAAATGCGTACTGCGAGCACTCACCACCCAACGCATGCTCCCCCACGGTCCCCTGCTGCTGCACTCCTGCCCACCTACAACCAATGTGCACTACACACTTGGTGCAGGGGTGCTGACACCCCGAAATGAAGACCCCCTGCATTTACATCTCCTGGGCCAAGTTCATCCTGGTCTGATCACACTGTAACCAACAGGATTACCCTGGAGAGGAACCTGCCTCATGAGGAGTAAGGCACCCACAGCAGGTGGCTATCACACTGACCCTGCTGGTTGAGTCTCTAGAAGGGCTGGTATGCTGCTCCACATGCCCCCTGACACTGCCCCAGGCCACCTGCTGGTAGCACCTGGGAAAGCCCCTAGGAACCAGGCAGTAATCTCATCTCATGCCACCCACAGGATGTGGAACTGTGCCTGCCAGCCAGCACACAAGCACCCCCATCAGAGGGGAACCACCCCGGGAAACATACCTGGGGAATGGGACTGAACATCAGCTGCCCTCCAGCTCAACCACAGCCGCAGCCACATCAGGGAAACTTAGCTGTGCCCTTGCAGCACTCTGGGTACAGTCACGTACAAAGCTGGCTTGAGAAACGTGGGCAGAGGCTGTCACCACAGTGTCAAGGCATCCCTTCCAGGGAACTGGGCAAGGCCCCACTTTGCTCTCAGTGTTGGCACAGAGTCTCTGAGATGCGGGCAGGGTTGGTGTTTGCTACCCTCAGTCCCAGGCCATTCTCTGCTAAGACAGCAGTTTCTGGGAGCAGAGAGTGGGTTTGATGGGTACGAGGAGCCCTGGTTTCTGATCTCTCCAAAGAAATCCATGGGTGAGTAATTCTGGCTACTCTGCTAATTGCCCAAGGGCCTTGCAAACAGCTCTGCATGCAGTCAGCAGCACAGAAGAGCGTTAGCACTCAGAGGTAGCTTTCCCCAGATGCCTGCCTGGTATATATAGCTCTTGAGCTAAAGAGCATTAGAAAATCTCTTATATTACAGCACTGGGTGAAATGGAGTGAAGGGCCCCCATGTGTGACTGTCCTATTCTGGCTGAAATGTAGCTGAGCACCATGAAAAACCACAGGATTAAAAGGTTTGGTGTCACCTTGAACCCCAAGTATGACTTCAATTATTACTGTTCACACTGCACCAACAGTGCGCATGGTTTCTTAAAGACCAGGGCTCCATTAACAATAAGGGTCATACAATAATTATGTGGCTCTGTTCAGCCTGGAAACTCTCTGAGCCTTTCACAAATGTCACCAATGCGTAAAGGATGTGCAAAAATCACTTCACACACATGCCCTGAAGTGCCACCAGCTCTGGGGAGATGCACAGGAGCTGGAGCTGTTTAGCAGAGCACCCTGACACCAGACAGCTATTTAGGACAGGAAGTGAAGAATGTGGTAGCCAACAAGAAAATCTGAAAGGGGAGTGAGTTAGAAGGAAACCATGTGCCTGAGCTAAATCTGACCAGGGCAGTGGTTTGCACAACAGCTCTTGCCCATAGCGCCAACAACAAGGACTGCCTAAAAAGATCAGGCCTTGGCTTGAATTTCATCCAGAAGATGGTACCTTAGCAGGGCTGAGTCCCAAGGGGCATGCTGGGGCACAGCCCACCTTGGCCAGGCTCCCCTGGCTCTGCTGTCCATTGCTGGTGAGAAGATGTGAGGTTACAGCCTCAAGTGCCTGAAATGGCTAGAGGGGGTGAGTGTGGAGTTGGTCCTACATCCCCAGGCCAGCTGCTTCCTCCTGGCTGAGCACCCCGATATGAAATGCAGCTGTTCCAGGAGTTGGGGTAGGGGTCACTGCTGAGACAGAGAGCCCTTCCCTTCTGTGTCACTGGTTCAAAGATGGCTCATCACAGCTGTACAATGCCCACTTTGGAGCTCCTGGTAGTCTCACATCCTAGCAGATATGGCTCTGACCTCTAGCCACAGAGAAGTCAAGGGCCAAATGGGCCATGAAGACTGATCTTTGCCCTCACCCTTAGCCCTAGAGGAGCCTCCCAGGTCAGGTTGGGAGACCTGGCACACTGGACTGCTTCTGCCACCTGCAGAGGGCATGTTGCTGTCAAGGGCCTGGACAGCATCCATTAATACAAAGTCAGCGATATATACAGAATTGCAACAAGCCTTGGCAGGTCAGACCTACTGCCCTGCTCCAAGCTTTGGCCATTTACAGTGCAGAATAACCACTGACCCACCTGCATAAACACCCCAGGGAAACATCAGCTGTGGTCAGGGGAATCTTTGTCGTCTGCTAGTGACACACAGCCAGGCAGGTCCTATCCCATCCAGCAGGAGGCAGCCACCCTGGATGGATGAGGGATCCCCACTCTCTGAGCACTGTGTGCATGGGGACTCTGCTGCAGCAGGTCTATAGGCAGCGGTCTCTGTGTTTCACTCACTACCCTATGTGCTCCACGCTGACAGAGAAGCTGCCAGGGCCCAAAGGATGCCTTTACCACCCCTCCACCCCCAATCCCCTCTCCCTGCACTGGCTTCCTGCTGTGATCACTTCCTGCATTTCCTGAGCCTAGATCCAGCTTGCAGCAGGAGAGAAAGGAAGGAGACTTTAAGGATCAGGTCAGCAACCAGCAGCAGCTCAACAGAATTGGGGTCCCTGCCTTTGCAAACCCTGCAGGGCTCTGCTCTGATGGAGAGTGCACATGGAAGAGAATCTCCCCCCAGACACACTGCCCTGCTAGGCTATCCTCAACCTTTCCCTGGGGCTGGCTGACCTGAGGAAGGGAAACATGTCATGAGCAGCGATAATTCTTCACTCACTTCAGCAGAAGGAGCCAATCCCTCTGGGAATAATGGAGAAGGGAGGGGATGGAGAGCTGTGCTGGCTTTGTGGGTAGGACATGGGAAGTGAGGGTGAAAGGGGCCACAGGAAGGAAAGAAACAACAAGGGATGGGGGAAAGGAGAAAATATGGTAGAGAGAAACCAGGAGACAGAGCTGGAAAGAGCAGTGGCCTAACTAGGAGATGGTGCGTCACTCTCTAACCAGGAGCCCACACCTCATACTCAGCATAGCTGATAGCTGCTCTTAGCCAGAGGAAGGGTTATCTACCCAGTCAGGAACCCAACTGAGACTATGTCATTCCACCCTGGATGGAGACAGGGTGAGGGGCAGAGGTATTGTACCAAGCACCTGAGAGCAAGAGGTGGGGGAGGGAGGGGCAGGGGGAAGAGGAGGGGATCTGAACCTCCCCAGCCTTCCCAGTGTGAGGTAGGGGTGGACTGGGAGGCACTCCAGAAGCTGCTGCAAACAGGATCCCAGGGCCTTCAAGACAAAAGTGTCCAGTGGTAACACAGGGCAAGTTAGTGCCAGTGGGTAACGCACAGTCTGGAATTGCCGATGCCATGGATGCCCCTGCCAGTGCAGGGGAGGGACAGGGGAGAACATACTTGACTGAGGTAGCCCCAGCCAGTGCCCCCACCCACCTGCCAGCACTCCCGCTAGGTAGAGGAAGCTGATGCGCAAGATACCATGGACCATCTCCAGGGGGACCCCGATCATCAGCTGGAGGAGGGCATTGAATCCCAGCTGTTCCAACCTGGACAGAAACATAAGACGACAAGTTAAGCCCAGCAAGCAGAGTCCTTCTAGCTAGACACACAGGACAGGGTGGGGATGTTACACTCCCCTGTGGTGTGACTTTCAGAGAAGATGAAACAATGAAGGGAAAGGGACTCACCCAAGGTCACAAAGACAGTCAATGGCAGAGCTGGACACAGACCCTAGGACTTCTGGCCCCCTGATCCCCTTCCCTAACCATGAGCCCACATCTCTCATACTTGGCATAGCTGACAGCTGCTCTGGGCCAGAAGAAGGGGTATCTACCTGGTCAGGAACCCAACTGAGACTGCCCTTCAGTCACTCTCACCTAGGCAGCATTTGAGCTAGAGAAAAAAGCTCCATCTCACATGACCAGCTGCCCCAATCTGCTCCATCTCCCACCTGGAATTTGCTTCCACACTGAGCACCTGCAGGCCCTCCTGGGTCCAAGGGAGGGATGGCTGCAATAGGAAGGCAGCTTCGGCAGCTCAAGCCTATCGAACCTATGAACTGTTGTGCCTCTACAGGAAATCCTGGCCTTTCAAGACTCCTTTTTATCCCGAACTGGAACAAAGAGTCAAACACTGACAGTTCCTGCAAAACAAATTATGCAAAAATGGCATTTGGCAAATACTGAAGCAACTGGTTATAATCTTCCAGTTCAATAAAACCGAATCACCTTCTTTTGACTTTATCCTTTCAATTACATTAAAGGGAGGATTGATATAACATATTAATAACAACATTGATTGCAATACAATGATAAAGACAATCAAGAAGCTAACATCCAAAATAAAGACCCTTGGTGTCAACTGAAATGTGGCCTATGGATAATTTGGGTTGGAATTTTCAGTGTAACTGCTGCAGCCTTGCTAAATACTTGGTGTTGGTCAAACTGGCATTTCCCAGTGAAAATGTGCTCCATCAAAGCATCATCAACCAGCTCAGCCCTCAAGGAAGAGCCCAACAGTGCTCCCATCTGGATGCCAACTTCCCAAGCATGCCCTCGGTACAGACCAGCCAATCCCAGCCATGCTCAGAAGTATCCCATTGATGGGGCATTGCGTGGCCGTTGCAAGGCAATGAACACCCAGGGTTGGAGACAGCGGCTCAGGAATTGCCTGTAGTTAATCCCACCATTCAGCAGATCTGATTGGGGCTGTTAATTTTGCTAATCAAGAGGCCATCAATCCAGGGAACAGGCTGTGCTACCGTGGTCAATACCTTTGCAATGATCATTATTATTTCATCCCCAATTGACAGTCTGTGTGGTCGCTGCATTGGCATGGCACAGGGACATGCAGCCTCTGCAGCCAGGCAGTCTTAGAGCTGGGGGGCTTCTCCTGTCCTTGGTTTTGCTACTGCTTTGCCACAGAGCCAGCTTTGAAAGAAGAGGAGGTTGGCAATGCTCATCTTTCACAGCACATCTGCCTCTCCCGTCAGAAAGCGGGGGACACCTTGCCACTCTAGCTGCTGGCTGTAGCCAGAGATGGCTGATGACCCCTCTTCCCCCTTGTCCTGTATTTCGGTGTATTACTGGTCAGCTCAGTGCAGGCCACAGCCATCAACACACAACAAAACCATGGGGTATGGACAAATCTGAGCCCCTACCCACTTCCTCCTACAGCTCTGACCATGATGGGGGCAGGAGGCAACCCTAAGGAAGGAGCTCCTTAATGCACCCAGCATCACTCTCAGCATGCCCTGACCCTACACAGACACACAGGGGTGCCTCTGCACAATGGAGATCCCCCCACCCCGGGGCTCTGAAGAGGAATGTCAAGTCTAGGAGGGAAAGCTACCTAGACTGTCTTCATGCACAGGCTAGTCAATTCATCAAGGATTTTAGAGGCTTTCGCCCTTGTCCTGCTTCCCACAGTGACATCATAATGCTGTATTGATGACATCACACTGGCAGCTCATGTGCCTTGGTGCTAAATTCTAGCCACAGGAGCCTGGCTTTGCTCTCTCACATGCTGCCCACTGGGAGAAGGCGGCAAAGAGTGGGGGATGCAGCATCCCAGCAGTGGTAGGGAGGAAGAGGAGGATCCTAGCCTGTCCTTAGCATGGGGCCAGCAGTGATCTCAGCGCTTCTGCTGCTGGGGAATGGCCTGCTCCACAAGCTCTCCCACTGTTCGAGACAGTCCAATTAACATTTTGCAAGAATGAATTTGACCTGAAGCCATTCCCAAGGCCCATTCAATTCCAACCTCAGCATTTATTTCATTTATTAGCAAGAATTTCTATAGTGCTGACCTCAGTCCTGAACAAGGCTCTTGCAAATGTTTATGATTTAACCCTCCCAATTCCATTGTCAAGTCAGCAACTGCAATACATCCTCTTCTACAGGGAAAACTGAGGCACAGAGAGAAAGTAAGTGACCTGCCCAAAGTCATTCAGCAAGTTAGTGGCAGAGTGAGGACCCTGACCTGCAAGAGCATCCTTCCTCCTTTTGGTTTCTCAAGTGACATGGTCGTGTTTCTGCTTCCTGACTGGACAAGCCGGTCTACCTCAGCTCAAAACAGGTGCTGCCTCCTCAGAAGAGGAGTGGGGTTGTGTCTCAAGTCCTGTTCTGAAGTTCCTTCCTATGAAATCCAGCCATGCCAACCACTGCCCCATGGATACAATTGGGACTGCAAAGCCAGTGGAGGCTAAATTCTAGTCGCAAGATGTTCTGCAAATAGCTGTTCTCACTGTTCAACCTGCCCCGGAGAGCAAACCACACACCAGAGGACAGCACAGGCAGCTGCAATGTACTGTCTCTCAAGATCTTCCCTCAGACATGCTCAGCCCTCTCCTGGAGGGGCCACACCTGCAGGAATAACACAACCCAGTCATGAAATCCACCCAGCCCCTGGCTTCTCCCCTGGCACTATCACCAAAGAACCGGGCCTGACTGTGACCCACTGACTCATTTCACACAGGCCATCAGGTGAGAATTACTTCCTGCCCCTGGGTCTCATTTCCAGTTCCCTGAACCATCCACTGAAAAAGGGGTCCTGGCCCAGGCACCAAATTCTTGCCATAACTCAGAGCAGAGGAGAACAAGCTGCCCTCAGCACTTCCAACGCCCTCACAAGCTGCAGGCACTGTAGTGCCCTGTGCTGAGACAGGAATCCATGTCCCATATTTCCTCTGACCTGGTTTGCCCTGCCCTGCTTGGGCGACATCCCTCAAACTCAGCATCTCCCTCCCTGCCTCAGGGGTGGTTCATCCTTACCCAACGTGCATGAACATGTAGGTAAGGAACCGCCAGGCACGGGCTCGGTGCCCTGGGTGATAGACCAGCGGGCTCTTCATGTACTCCGGGTGGTACGTCTGCAGCACCCACTTGTTCAACCGAGCCCCATAGCACAGAAACACGATGATCTGCAGAAAGAAAGGGGCTGGCTGTCAATTGGGGAGGATTTCCCTGCTCTGTAGAGCACAATACAGAGGGCAGGGGCCAGGTGGAGAAGTGGCAGAGGGCACAGCCTGCTCTGGCCCTGGGTGCCTGCAGAAAGGCAACAGAGCAGCAAATTCCCCAGGCATGGAGACGCCCTCCCCCCAGGTGCATTTCCTGCGAGGCTCAGGGTACCTGGGTGAGCGTGACGGCTGCCATGAAGATGGGCGGGGGGCAGGTGCGATGCTGGTAGAAGTACCAGCGTCGGTCCATCTCACAGGGCAGGATCTCATAGGCCACGTAGCGGACAAAGCGCTTGTAGAAGCCCAGGCCTGTCTCATCCAGCAGCACATCGCGGGGCAGTGCCCTCTGCCCATTGGCGATGGCTCGCTTGAAGCTGCTGGAGCGTTTACTGCTGATCTGCAGAGAGAGGCTGTGACAGACAACGGTTGCAGACAGAGCTCCCAGCCCTCCGCTCCCCACCTTAGCCGGCAGGGGTCGCTCCAGGCCAGGGATTCCCCCAACATGGGACCACTGTGATGTCAGGTGAGGAGAGAGCAGTGAAGGGCTGGGGCTGGGACAAGGGACAGGTGCCTTTGGAGACAGGATGCCAAGCACACAGTGTGCACAGGGGCAGCGTCTCCTGGATTGTCTCCACGCTCAGCTGAGCCAAGTAGGAATAATCTAAGGATTCACGACTGCATATTCAGTGGTGCTGTCTGCTTTTGTGGAGAGCTCAGTACACGAGAGGAAAACAAATCTTTATTTCCCCTCCAAGATGGGTCCTTGTGCAGGCCAGGGCTCTAACTATGCATAATCCCTACCCCACACACAGCAGCCCCAGGGCCAGCCAGGGCAGAAGCCTTTGCTGTGGGGAAGATCCCAGCAACAAGCTGTTTCACTTTCCCAGCAGGAGGCATTGCTGGGTACATGCAAGTGCTCCCAGCTGCTCCAGTCATCCCTGTGACTGCGCCATGGCACAAGGAGGCCATCTAACAGGAATCTGCTTGTATTTCACAGCATTTTGCTCACAGCTGTCATCTCTCCACCCGGGGGCTGCAAGCGAACTGGTGCTACCTTGCCAGCTCTGGAGAGCTCTCCACAGAGTAGGGCTCAGCGATGCCAGCCTCCCCAGCCCAGCCCAGCAGCGGCATCTGGTTCCCCAGGGCATGCTTATCTGCTGGTATCAGGGCAGTCAACGGTTTCTGTGGAACGGCCCTTTGTCCCCTAGGAGCTGAGCTCCAACCTCCTTCCGTACAGGTCAGCAAAGAGCCATGAGGGACGGATGATACAGTTCCTACCAGGCTCCAGCCCAGACTTGAACTGGTGACTTGACGGGGGGCAGGGTCCCCAAGCAAAAGCTCCCTCCCTCTGTTCCAATCCCAGTCTAGGTTCACCAAGCAAAGACTCTCTCTGTGCCAGAAGAAAGGACCAAGAGTCTGGCATTTCTGCCAGCAAACCCCTGATGGCAGGGGATGGTGGGAGGTGACCTGCTCCAGAACCACCTGTGGTGTGTGCAGGTAGAGTGTGTGTGTGTGCGCGCATGCATGCGTGTGATGATCGACATCAGGTATGTCCTCCCCGAGCTCCGCTTCCCACAGGGAGCCCTGAACTGGCCCCAGGGACCCTGTCCAGCAGCTGCGCTCCTCAGTGCAGTGGGCTGCCCTGTGAGAGCAGTCATCTCCTGGGGCTGGTGCCTCAAGTCACTGGGCCAAGTCCAGGCCTAGTGTAGGCAGGTGCAGGTCACACTGACTAGACCAGCTTGCACCATGGGTGAATTTGTGCCTTGAGCTTTCAAGCTGAATCGAAACAGAGGTCCCCCATCTAGGGCTGTGTTTGGCCCCCAAAACCCCTGCTTTTGAGTAGCATGCCCAGCCCCGCGGGTACATGCTCCAAAGGGAACGGCAACCCCCTCCCAGTCCTGCTTCCCAGTTTTATGAAGCGCAGTGGGCCTCACATCCTCATGGCATGTGTGTGGTGCCCAGGCACCGTAACTAGCACTCACGTCACTGACCAGGTCTACCAGCTCCTGATAGCAGATCTGCCCCTCATCGTTGCTTTGTGCCAGAGCCACCAGCATCTCCAGCTTAGCAGGGTCCAGGGGCAGCTCATGGCTGTGCACCAGGCTGGCAAAGGTCTCCACACCAATGAAACCGGTGTTTTCAGGATCAAGCTGGGAAAAAAAAGAGCCAGAGCCTAGAAAACAGGAGCGAGGGGCATCAGCTCCAAGCAACAGCTTACCATGGGTGCTGGAGAGATTGCCACTGGGGCTGGAGCAGATGGAAATTTTGCTATGCCTTTCTGTAGGCACCTCTTGCCAGGAGAAGTTGAGACTGCCAGAGCTGTCCATCCATGTATGCCAGGGCCTGGGAGTGAACCCTCTCACAGACTTCATCCGCCCTCCTCTCTGTGGGGGACACTCTTTGGATGCCCATCTCCCCAAACTCCCCCCTTGGGTGCAGCCAAACCACGGCTCTGAGATTGCCCTGGCTGTGTTGCCAAGTCCTGCTCAGGCCTCCAGCTGGCTGTGCATGCTGCCAGGCAGTTAACCCAGCTGTGTGGCTCAGCCCCTGTGCCCCTAGACAACACTTTTGCCTCTTGACCTGTCAGGGCAGAGCCGTGCCCCAGCGCAGCTGAGCACTAGCAGCTCCTGGCAAACTCCTCGCTTAAGCAGGCCCCAGGGCCACAGAATGAGGTCTCCATTCCCAGATGGCAAATGCCTCCTCCTGTTCTTCTCAGGCCCCGTGCCAGCCCCTCTGCCACTTGGTCATGTCACTGCTTCGTCCTGTGCCTCAGTTTCCCCAGGAGTCAAGCCAAGTTGTGCTGTCCTATCTAACAGGATCCAGTTGTTCATTAATGGGGCTGTGGGGGAGGTACTGGAGTTACTGCAGTGGGGGCCCTTGAGGAACAGCGGGAGGAGAATCAGCACATGCAGGAACACCAGGGTGCTCCGATTCCTTCTCACAGGGTCTAGTCTAATCTCCTTCAACTTCTTCAGCGGGTTTTCTCCTCACACCTGGCCAGGCTGGGCATGTGCCCATGGCCCATGCTGGCTGTGTTCTGAGGAGTGCTTCAATATAAGGAAAGGGCTTAGTAACCAGTCCCCACTGCCAGAGTCCCTGTTTCTATATGGCAGAGGGATGGGGCCTGCATTGCCGTCAGAAGGGGGCAGCCCCTGCGGCCTCGTTACAGCCAGGCACTGCCACTGACTCTGTACACTGGGGAAAGGGAGACACATGTGGCTGCCTGCGCTCACAGGGCAAAGGGCCTCACAGGCACAGGGACAGAAGGCAGAAGGCCCTGTCTGAACATGTGGCCCAGAGACAGAGGGATCCTGGCAGGGAAGAGATGCACCCAGCAATCACTGAGCTTGAGGTAGAGCCTGACTGACAGCTGTCAGTGTGATCCCCCAGCTGCTGCTCACTGGGAAATGAGAGGGGTGCCCATGCCACACTGTCATCAGTCTCCTATCCCAACTCCTGTTGCATCCTCCCCAGATGCCAACAAGCCCCTTGTGGCTGGTAAAATTCCACAAAACAGAATCTGTGGTTAAATGACTGGGTCCCTGCACTGGAGCCCAGCAGGGAGGCTGTGGAGGACGAATCCCACGCGCTACTAGATAGGCTAGCCACTGTGTCTCGGACCCACGCAAAGGCTCCAAGGCAAAGGAGGCCAAAGGTCTGAAGCTGAACCTGGTCTGCAGCAGCTCCACAAACCCAAGAGTGCTGCCTGGGCAAGGAGTCGCATTCAGTGCCAGGTTCTGTCTGACCGGGCTCAGTCCGGCCTAAAAAGCTAATGAGCTCAGTGAGCCTCAGGCAAAGCTGGGCTGAAGTGGGATGCTATAAGCAGGTCCGACACCTGCCATCGGTCTTGTCTTTCAACACAGGCAAGGGACCGCTGTTGTCTCTATATCTACGCAGCATCTAGCACAAGGGGGGTTGGGGGTGTCAAGTTTAGTTGGTCCCAAGACAGCATGGTGATAATATATGTATGGACTGCCCAGTGGCCAGCCCTACAGCTACAGTGAACATAACCCTACATACCTCCACCAGCTCCACAAGTGTCACTTCCTAAGCAACACAAAACAAAACGCCTCTAGCGAGGTAGCACCTCCTATCCCCAGGGATTGCACAGGAAGGCTCATATCCTTTTTCTTTCTTGAAGAGTGCAGGGGAAGGAAGTATTTAAAAAGCCAGTGCTGAGGCAGATTGACTAGGGGCCATGAAGCAGCACTCAAGAAATCAGTGAGGGCCCTGCCAAGGACAAGCTGGGTGCTGCCACTGCCGGCAGAGCCAGTAACACAGAATTATTCTGCAGACATCATCGCCTGTATCACTTTGATCTCCGGGGAACAACATGCAAAACACAGAGCTCACCAGCAACGTCCTTGTGGAAGGGGCAGGACAGAGACCGCTGTGGGACATGTACACACGCGTGCATGCACAGAGGACTCTGCTGTGGGCAGAGGGTGGGAGAGCCCTGCGCTCCCAGAGTCTCTTGCTGCCTGGGAGCTACAGGCTGAGATCTAGCAGAGATGGCAGCTATCGGCCGGGGGGGTGGGGAGCTCTTGTGGGAAAGGCCCAATCCTGGGCAGTAGGGAGATGCTGGTTCTGTAGCACGGGGTTCGACCCTGCAGGAGGGATTCAAAACAGAGGGAAACAGAAGGGGCCGAAGTGGAAAAGCCACACGTGAAAAATTAACCCTTTGAAGACTGTGACCATGTCAGTCCCTGACTCTGTTTGTGGATGCAGAAACTGAATTGCAGCCTTAACTCTCCAGAACGCTCTGGACCATTCATTTGACTGTGCCCTTTGGGCTATAGCTCCCAGGGCCCCATGCACCTCAGGCCCAGCCAGCATCTAGCTCTGCCAGAGGATAGGAAAGACAGTAGCCCCAGGAGGTCTCATGGGAAATTACAATACACCCTACCTATTAATTCCACCTCTGTTTTCTCATTTGAGGTCTCAGCTGGGGACTGGGCCTCTCTGGAGGGCTAGAGAAGAGGACATAGCAATGTCTGTGTTCTTGGCTGCTGTCAGGTCACTGGCACTAGCAACTGCCTCAGAGTCATTTGGTGACTATGGCTGGAGACCTCAGCTTTACTCCCTGTTCTGCCACTGACCTCCCAGGTGGCCATGGTCAAGTCATACCACCACTACACCTCTGTTTCTGCTCCTGTCCTTTGTCTCTGTTGTACATGCAGCTCCTAGCATGCCAGGGCTGTGATCTCCATCCTCACTTGTTGGCCAGGCTTTAATACAGGTGCTTAGTAATGATTATTCTTAAAGAAAAAGGTCTCATGCAATTGGCTTTGAGCTTCAGTCAAAAGTCCTTTCACTTCTCTGTATGGAGCCTCCTTGTATGTGACAGCAGACCAGGCTCTTAGGGAGCGATCTGACTGTTCTCACTGTAGTAGATACTACTGCCATCACTCCTGCCTGCCCCTGCCACGGAGGTAGCAAACCTTCCCGTCCATGCACACAGCATGTAAAAAACCACACAGGCACTTACTGCATTCACCTGTCTGCACAAATGCTATGCACATGCCTATCCACCACACGTGACAAACACAACCCAATACATGTGCACATATGCACACATTCCCCAGGAACGCCCCCTACACTGTCTCCTCTTACAGCATGTGCACACACCAGTACAGGGGTGGGCAATTATTTCAGGTGGAGGGCCGGTTACTGAGTTTTGGCAAGCCATTGAAGGCTGCATGACAGGCAGCCAGGGACAGATAAATATTAATTCTCTAAATTTTTTAGGAGCCCCGCGGGCCACATAGAATGGCCTGGTGGGCTGCATTCGGCTCACACACCTGCGTACACTCACATGCATGTGTTCATTGTATATACACCGCACACTCCTGCACGTACACTACCTCACATACATGCACTCTACACGGGGAAAGGCACCTGCCCGCAAACATGGAGTCCACATTTACAAGCATGTGCACACCCTGCATGCATGCACACACACACTTGCACACGCTCACTCACCCAGCTTATCTTTCCCCTCACACATTTCAGCAGCTGGCCCATTCCCAAAGCAGCAAAATCATCCCCACTCAGGGGATTCCTGGGACCTGGGAAGACCATACCACAACTCATACTCCAGTGCCTGCTGCCAGCCCACCCCGATCAAGCTGCCGTCAGCCATGCACGTGCTCCTGTGCCTTAGCAGCAGCCCTGCAGCTATTCAGAGGCCCTGTGAGCTGAGAACTTTATTATACTTCTAGCTGCTGTGAAATGCTGGTCACAACCTAGCAGGATCAAAGCCCCTGCCTCCCCAGCTCTAAATGTTCACTAAACTTTGGCTGAGCCACACCACAGTCCCCAGCTCAGGGGCACATTGCAGTGAGTGCCAGGCACCTGCTCTTGCCCAGATGAGGCTCCAATCCTTACACAGATGCTCAGAAACACTGAAATCCTTCAGGTCTAGAAGCTCGGCTGGGCTCTGGTTTGGCATCCTGCCGCCAACCAGACACCTGGTATTTTTAAACCCAGCTCCCCAGTCCAAGGAGCCTGGAAAAGCTGCCCAAGGTCACCCCGCGAGTCAGGTGGGGAATTGCTGGAGTAGGAGCTCTCAGTCTAAATCCCCAAACTGAACGTAACGAGCCATTTCCCACCCAGCCCAGGCTCCGCTGGCACCAATGGGGGCTTTGAGGTGCTGTATTTGGCGGTCAGAGCAGAGGGAGAGGATGCAGCCTACAAGCCACCAGAGCAGAGCGCTCAGTGCCACCAAGTGTCAGTGCATCGGGGCCGATCCCGGGTGGCAGAGCAGGGCTCAGTGCAGCGCAGCACCTGTGCACCAGGCCCGGTCCAGCAGGCAGGCGCGGGACTTGGTGCGGCGCAGCGCCACGGCGCTCAGCCCAAGTCCTGCAGGCACGATGGCTGGCGCCGCGCAGCAGGGCCCGATCTGGCAGCAGGACACTGAGCTGGGCACCACCAGGGTCTTGCCCCTTGCCTTGCGGGGCACCTCAGCCCCACCTTGACACCTGGGGCCCGCGGCGGGCAGGGCAGGGGTGACAGTGGGGGTGCGGGCGAGCCGGGCACGGGCTCTGGGCTGGCAGGTGCGTGGTGCTGGGCAGCGCCCGGCACAGGCGGTGCCCGC